ATGAATCATTAAATATTTGCTTAATTTATCTGCATTTTCCTTAAGTAATTGGAGTAATCAGCAGAAAAACATCATTTAAACATAAACCACCCCTATTCCTTCTGAAAAACAGACTAAACTTTAAACTAATAGCCTATAATCCCAGCTACTCTGGAGGCTGAGACAAGACGATCACAAGTTCAAGACCTGGGCAACTTTAGCAAGACCCTGCCTCAAAATTAAAACACTAAAAGGGCTGGGCTGTAGCTCAGTGGTATAGTACTCTGGGTTCAATCCCCATTACCACCAAAAAAAGTATGGCCTTTATTGTCACCTCAAAAGAAGGATGATTAACATTTCCTCTGTTGTGCCACAGTTCAACTCTTTTTTTTCATTTTCAGAAAATGTATAATTTAATAAATATTGTATAATTGGAATCTTGCCCTGAGTGTACCGTCCAATTGAAGAGATAATGCTCACCAGGAACAAATTTTTTAAATGACAGTATAATATGATATCAGCATAACATCAGAATCGTTTAGGAAAGAGAGAGGTGGGAAAGTTTCCAAGGAAGCTCAGGTGCAAGGGCCAGACTTGAGTCTCTGAAGAATGAGCAGCATACCTAGGAAGAGAGACCACGGACTCATCCTAAACTGGGGCTACTGATCTTATTTCTTTTTTGTACCAGGAATTGAACCCCGGGCACTCTACCACTTAGCCACATCCCCAGCCCTTTTTTACTCTTTTTTTTTTTTTGAGACAGAGTCTTACTGAGTTGCTTTGGACCTTGCTAAGTTGCAGAGGTTGACTTTGAACTTATAATCCTCCTGCCTCAGCCTCCCAAGTCTCTGGGACTATAGGCATGTGCTCACATAGAACTCTTTAAGCCAAGAATAGCATAATAGAATGAGATGTAAAATGAAAAGGCTGGTAAAAGAGAATCACACACCAAAGCATCCCTTGGAGTGCCCTTCTGTCCATCAGTGTTCATTCCACTCCAAGGAAATGCTGTTCAAGGCAGAATGGGGAACTTTGTACCGTGTCTTTTTCTTAACATTTAATAGGGTTTGTGAGATTTGTTTTAATGTCATATTTTTGTTCATTTTTCATAGGCTGTTTATTTATTCTATGGAACCAAAGATTGTTTAGTGCAAGAATGTAAAGATTTGAATAAAAAAATTGAGGTAAGCCACAAATACCTTCCACAAAGTTTTAGATGTTTTCAGGATTATGAAGGTTTTTTAACAGAAATACTGATTCTTCTTTTAAGTTACTTTGCTAACATATGTGG